GAAATTCATTAAGAGTTTTTTTTTAGTAACTCAACCTCTACAACGTTACAGGATAAATGCACTTACATCATAGGGATAGGTAAAAAAGTAATTTAATGCATTTCTCACGGCCATCATATGATCGTTTTTCTCATTGAACCCAGTTACAGGATCGCTGGTCCCTGGGTTGAGTATCCTCATACATGGCTCCTGCTATATTCAATGGGCTTCAACCCCATCCCCCTCGATGTATTCCAGACTCTATCTCTTGCTAAGGCCTTAGTTAATGGATCTGCAAGATTATCACCAGATTTAATATAATCCACATTTATGATGCCATTATTCATATAAGATCTCACAGTACTGTGTTTTCTTCTGATAGGTCTGGATTTACCGTTATAATAACGGTTATTAACTCGACCAATTGTTGCGGTGCTATCACAATGAATTAATATAGGTGGAATCGGTTTTTCCCAACAAGAGATTTCATTTAACAAATCTCTCAACCAATTTGCTTCTTCACTAGCTGTAACTAAAGCAATAAGCTCAGCTTCCATTGTTGAATTAGCAATAATGGTTTGTTTTTTCGATTTCCAACTTATAGCACCACCTCCCAATGTAAATAAGTAACTAGTAGTTGATAATGAATCACCTGACAAGGTATTCCAATCGGCATCACTGTAACCTTCAAGTACTGCAGGATACTTATTATAAAACAAGCCATATTTTATGGTACCAGATAAATATTTCATAATACGCTCAATGGCTAGCCAATGATCACTGCCAGGCTTGCTAGTAAACCTGCTAAGTACTCCAACTGCATATGCAATGTCAGGTCTAGTACAGTCAGTCGCATAACACAAGCTACCAATCATACTAGCATATTCCTTTTGATTAATTACATCCTCATCATTTTCAACAGGAAATAAACGCACATGAGGATCAAAAGGAGTAAGAACATGCTTGCAGTTATAAAAATTATATTTTCTCAAAATTTTCTCAACATAATGCGACTGATCAAGAAATATACCATCACAGGTTTTGGTAATTTTCATTCCCAAAATATAATTAGCCTCACCAAGATCTTTCATATCAAAATGGCTACTAAGCATATTTTTAGTTTCCACGATGATATGCAAATTAGAGCCAAATATAAATAAATCATCCACATAGAGGCTAATAATGACATGTGAATTCTCTTCAGATTCATAGTAAATGCATTTATCACATTCATTCGTTTTATAGTCATTCTCAATCATGCAGGAATCAAATTTCTCATGCCGCTGTTTAGGGGCCTGTTTTAAGCCATAGAAGGATTTAACTAGCTTGCACACTTTGCTTTCTTGACCGGGTTCCACAAAACCCTTAGATTGATCCATATAGATTTCTTCACCCAGGTCTCCATTTAAAAGGTTGTTTTAACATCCATTTGATGAATTTTTAGATCATGAATTGCAGCCACTGCAATTAATAATCTAATGGATGTAACTCTTGTAACCGGAGAAAATATATCAAAAAAGTCAAGATCTGCTTGTTGTTTAAAACCTTTTGCAACAAGTCTTGCTTTATATTTATCAATAGTTCTATCCGGTTTAAGTTTTTTTCTCAAAACCCATTTACAGCCAATAGTTTTACAACCTGGTGGTAAATCTACTAATACCCAAGTTTTATTGGATAATAATAATTTCATCTCGACATTTACAGTCTCGTTCCAAAAAACAGAGTCAGGAGATGCCAAAGCTTCTTGTAAAGTTAATGGAGTTCCCTCCACATTAATAACATGATAATCAGGGCCAAAAGCTTTTACTAATCTGGCTTTTTTATTCCTTCTTGGTTCAAAAACTACAGTATCTTGGTTTTGTAAAAGAGGAGTAGATGAGCCGGTTTCAGATAAAATATTTTCTTGATAATTTTGACCCCCACCATTTTTAGATTTAAAAGGAAATTTTTCTTCACGAAAAATTGCATCACCTGATTAAAAAATTATTTTGTTTTCAATATCAAAAAATCTATAGGCTGTACTATTTGTTGCATATCCAAGAAAAGCACAAGTGGCAGCTTTCACACCTAATTTAGGTCTTTTAGGGTCTACAAGTCTAACAAAATCTAGACAACCCCAAACCCTCAAATGTCTCAAATTTGACTTATGCCCTTTCCACAACTCAAAAGGTGTAACTTTTGTATTTTTATGTGACACTCTATTCATAACATAACATGCACATAACATGCAGTTAAAATTACTTCTCCCCACAAATTTGAGGGAGCACCTGCTTCAATTAACATAGCATTTGTTAAATCAGTTAAAGTTTTATTTTTCCTTTCTGCTAAACCATTAGATGCAGGTGAATATGATAGAGTAGTTTCATGGATTATTCCCAAAGACTGAGCAAACGAGTTGAATCCAAAAGATTCATACTCCCGGCCTCTATCACTTCTATATCTTTTCATCTTTTTACCGAATTGATTTTCAACTTCAAGAAGGAATTCTTTAAATTTTTTAAAAGCATCACTTTTATTTTTCAACAAGTGTACATAAGTGTATTTTGAAAAATCATCAATAAAAGTGATAAAATATCTATTTCCCCAATGTGTTAAAATTCCTTCAAATTCACATAAATCAGTGTGAATTAATTCTGACAATTCAGTATTTCTCATCACACTTTTATGAGGCTTTTTAGTTATTTTTGCTTGACTGCAAACTTCACATTTCTCAAATTTATTTATTAGTCTGGGAATTAATCCTAAACTACTCATGACTCCCACATATCGGCTATTAATATGACATAGACGAGCATGCCAAAAATTCATAGAAGACAGCATGTAAACAGAAACATGTGCTTTCTTATTCTCAACATTTAATTTAAACATTCCATCACAGGCATACCCTTTCCCCACAAATATGCCTTTTTTAGTGATTACATATTGGTCAGATTCAATAGTCTGTTTGAAACCAGCTTTGTTGAGCAAATAACTTGACATCAAATTTTTTCTCATGGACGGTGTGTACAACACATCTTTTAAAACAAGCACACGTCCAGAAGTAAAATTCAGCTCAACATCCCCACACCCAAGCACCTTGGTTAAACTGGAGTCACCAAGCATAACGGTCCTCTCCTCATTAAAAGGAGTGAAATCTTTGAACCAATCTTTATCATAGCAGACATGCCTATTGGCACCAGAGTCTGCCCACCACCCTTCTACAGATTGAACCATAAAAATATCTGTGATCATAGTCACAAATGGTTCCTCGGTAACATTAGCCTGTGGTCGAGGCTGTTGTTTCCGAAATTTGCAAGTTCGAGCAATATGCCCACTTTTGCCACACATAAAACATGTCACGTTTGTCAGATCTTGTGAAGGGGATTCTTGGTTCCATTTCTTTTGCCTCGGGTAATTTTTATTTTGTGGCCTTCCAGTATTTTTCCAAATTTTCTTAACTGGCTTCAAGTGACTATTTTTATGAAATCGACCTTTAGGTAAAGTATTTCCAGAAGTTAAATTTACCTTTGCAGTGGAATGCTCTTGTGTCATAAGCGCATCTTGTCCTCGTGCTTCCTCCTCCACCCGAATCCCTGTGATTAGCGTCTCCAAGGGCGTCTCTTTTTGCTTGTGACGCATCGACTTTTGGAACTCCCTCCAAGATGATGGAAATTTGTCAACAATACCTGCTACAACAAGATTGTCTCCAATTTTGATGCCTTCAGATCTAACTTCAGCTACTAACATCTGAAAATCTTGAACTTGCTCCACCACTGATTTTCCATCTATCATCTGAAGCGGAAAAAATGACTTGCAGCATATTTTTTAGCACCTGCCTCTTCAGTGTCATATTTATTCTGCAAGGCTTTCCAAATTTTCTTGGCAGTAGTGTAAGTAGTATCATAATAATCATAAAATTGATCTGAAAGACAATTCAAAGGATAGTATCGACATTTATACTCATCTGTGTTGTATTTCTCGATGTTTTCAAGATGAGCAGCATACTCCTCGTCGATCATCTCTTCAGTGGGGACTTTGTTCGGATTTTTCTCGGTCAGGATATAAGCCACCTTGAGGAGATTGAGGTAGAAAAGTATCTTGCCTTTCCATCTCTTGAAATGAGCTCCCTTGAACCGGAAAGGCTTGTTGAGATCGCCGGTATTCTTGTTGGGCTTCTCCAGTATTGGCTCCATGAACTTTTGCTATTTGAATCTCCTTAAAATTGTTGGTGATACTTACAAATAAAACACTAGATAATACACAAAATAAAAGTTACAACAATTAATATAAGGGCTGAGGCGCGGGAAATTCGCTCTCTTTAAGGAGATTCAAGCCCTCTGCAGTTAGGCAAAGATTCACACCGGTGCAGCAGAAAAAACCTTGATTTGTCCCCCCCAGGATACAACAGCTCGACTAAGTCGTATGGTTAACCAATACTGCACAATTGGTTGAACTCAAAGCTTTATCACACACACTCTTTTTATTTGCCTGATAATCTCACTCAAGACATAACAACACAACCAAAACTTCTTCTCTCGTATGTGTCTCTAAAGATAGGACATAAGTTAATATATATAGAAATCAAAAAAAAAAATTCTTGGTGGATAAGTTACTAGAGATAAGACCAAGACTTGGTGAAGACGACTTGAAAGACTTGGAAGACATGGACTTGACTTGGAAGACTTAGACTTGGAAGTCTTGGAAGGATAAAGACTTGGTGGACTCTTGGAAGACTTTGGCAAAGCCTTAGCTTGGAAGGCTTGGATGGAAAGAATGGAAGGACAAGACCAAGACTTGGATGGAAAAGTCTTGGAAGACTAGGAAGACCTGATGGAAACCAATATCACAATATAATATTAAAATACCTGCTAACATTTCGCCACCTATTTTAATATGATAGGTAACAAGAACTGAGATTATTAGGAAAATAAGGATATTATGCATCATAGTAGGTGTGCTCTGCATTGAACCTCCATTAGTGAAACAATAATA